TTGTACAGCAGACTTCAGGATTCCAGAGGGATTCTTAAGTTTTGCTATTGTTACTGAGAAGCTTATTGATAACTTACAAATCTTAGAAATAGCAGCTTTCAATACGTTAGCATAGAGTAGTAACAAGAGTCCACATTCTCACTGCAACTTTAAAATACTAGGTAACAAACAGCTGGATGTAAGATACATACCAACTGACATCTAAAAACTATTTATTAAATAAAAATAGCATAGTTATAGTCTTTGTTTTATTGACACCCTCAGTTTTATTAACTGAGAAATTAGAAGCCTCCTAATTTAGAATAAAGTAACTTTGAAAAATATATTCTAAGGTGAGAAGAATAAATTTTACAGGGCACAGATAATTAGAATTTTATTTTACCTAGCATTTCCCATTTCCTATCCAGATGCTTCTGTCAAACACTAGTATTAAATGGACAAAGCATTGTTTCCTTTTATCTTTTTTCCTTCCCACAAGCAAAGAGGAGAAAAACAACAGGTAGCAATCTACCAATGGGCAATCAGTTCACTGTATATGTTCAAAATAAAGTTACTTAGTGAAATGCTGAATAAGTTTTAAGTAAAAAAGGAAAAATTTATTGAAGTATACATTTACTGAAATAAATTTCAGAGCGACTACCAAAAAGCTTAGCCAGAAGCTCTATGATATAATTAGTAAGCCCCTAAATGAATAAAGTGATCCAAATTATTGAACTGTCTTTAATGGATGCTCCCTTTAACATCTTTATTCAGTCTATTTGTACAACAGTCAAAAAACATTCAATTCCTTACCACTGGAAAATATCATCTCTCAAGCTACCTCATGACATCAGGATCCAGTTTAAATTTAAAGGTTTTATTGATATATATAAAGTAGCGTAACTATAAGAGTAAGCTTTAGGAACCAGTTTACTATAAAACTCAAACTCAGAACATTAGATAATTACGCTCTACAGTTCTCTTATTCTCTAAGATTCTTAATTTAAAAGTGAACATATTTCTAATATTCAAGCATCTCATATACAATAAAATAATTTTAAGTTGTATAGTGATATTGCAGTCCAATACTGACCTTCTGTATAATAAAAACCACATGGAAATTCTGCAATTCATGTTGCAAATATTTTTACTTAGAGAAGTAATTTAAATGTTATTTCAACATCTTGTACATTTCCCCTTAACTTAGAAGTTTTAAGGCACCTTGGAAACAGAGTCAAAAATTTTGATTCTCTACTGATGTAAAGGAAAAAAATCTTTCTAAATTGCTACTGAAATAGTTGCTCTGTACCCTCAATTTGACCAACATTAGAAATAAACCCACCAGTTATTAGGAAGTATGGAAAATAAGTGACACTTACTTCTGTTGGTGGTGAATTTTAAAAAATGATTTTTTTAAGGCAGCACAAAAGTTCCTCATAACTTTTCTTGTTCAAAATGGAAACACTTGATGACTAAAGAGATTGGTTTTAAAATCCAGTGCTCAACTGGGTTCAAACAAAGTACAACAGATTATATACCACCTCAGTTTTTACTGCAAATGGATAAATTCATTCTATTCTCTGTAGCTACTGTTTCCATTGCGCTCATGAGATTTCCAAAGAACCAAAAAATTAAAAGACTTACATCCTCAAATGGTAATTAGTATCTTTAAATACCACTGTAAAATATCTATGAACACTGAAAAACATTAGCTTTCAGCACAAGGGTAAGCCATGGCAGGACACTCCTGTTCATAGATGGCTGAAGTAAAATTTTGTCCAATGTTACAATGAATCACTGCATCAGCCAAAATGTCTGTCTCTTAACTTGTTTCAAAAGAAATTCAATTTGAAAAGGCTAACAGTAAAAACTTCAGCCTAATCTCCAAGACCACTGAATCCTCGAAAATAAGGGGGGAAAAACTCAAGGCATATAGTTAGTAACAACCTTATGTCTTAGGATAGTTCGATCTTTATCAAAGTTTTCTATAGAGTGAACATGTGACATCATTGCTATAAAAGAAAAAACAGCTTTTGAATAGTTCAAAAATACAAAACTATTCCTCGTGCCAGTCAAATCTAGACACTGCAGATCAATACCTACCCTCTTAATCAACACAAACATACAGAGGAACATATTATTTCACATCGTTAGGGAAATGATATACACAAATCAGTAAGATCTCTTTGATATTCAATAATAAAACAGTTTATTTAAACTATACTTTTGGGGGAAAAATAAATGACACTTTGTAAAATCAGCCAAATTCTCTCTGTATCAGATCCAATTTCACAGATTTTACTATCTCAACAAATATTTATCAAGTACCCACCAAAAAGACACAGAAACTTGAACATGAGCTTTTCATTCAAATCTTAGACTTTGTATTTAAAACATGTATAATTAGTTACCTAAATGTTATCAATCTCTACCACTTCCACCAATCTTGAATTACTATGGGAAGATACACTTGAAAAGATCCTTAAATAGATGGGTCAAGTTTTTTTTATGATTAATCCTTTACTATACCTTACCAGACCCTCCCCACATGGTGGCTCTTTACTATGGGGGCTCACTTTCCCTTTATACAGCTAAGAGAAAATATTGGAATTCTATTGTAAAGGATTCTTTCGAGGATAAAATGAAAATCAATTTGTAAAGTAAAAGAGATTCCAAAGCCATGTGGAAATGTTTCTTTTTGGAGGATTACATTGTTCTCTTTAAATATCCTCTTGGAGTATTCATTACCATTAACCCCTAAATTCAAAAGCTAAACATTACTATGTGCTCAGGCAAGGTGCTGCTAGAAACTAAATACAGTGGAGAATGAATTGGATCAAGTCTCTGCCCTCCTGGTACTTACTATATATTTAACCAGTGTTGAGTCAATGTGCAAGGCATCGTATCAGTGCTTTCATGCACACAAAAGAACATATATTTTGTTGCTGGAGTTTACAATTTACTGGAACAGATAACAAGAATATATAACAGTAACAAAAGGTAGGAAGTGATAGGTACCATGGAAAGGAAGAGAGATGACTTTCATGGGGTTACAGGGTGGGTAGGAGAAGGTAAAAGAGGACAGACCAATCCTTTTCATGCCCCATACCACATTTTTAATTAAGCCAGTTTAGTATGGGCTCTTCAGCTGTACTGTGATACTTGGTACACTAAAAACAAACTGGCCACGTGTCCCAACAATTTACTTTGGGGCTCCCTCAGATAAGGCAGCTTCACAATTTACTGTGAATGTCAAACAAGGAAATGCAAGTGAAAACTCCTAATGTAGCGCAGAGATGAAAAGCATGGGGGGGATAACTAAGATGATTCCGGGCTCTGTATTCTTAAAGTTATTTACCTGAGTATTAGTTTTCTCTCCCAAAACTTGGGGATGAAACTATCCAAGTGGTTCTTCCATACTATTTGACTAAGCCACTTTTTAAAAGCATGATATAGGAATAATAGTCTTCGTAAAATGTAATTTACTATAAAAATATTTCTCCCTCCAGGTTATTACAGACAGACTACTGTCCTAAAAGTCAGCAGACTCATTAACTGGTTATCTTATCTATTGTAGGCCTCAGTTTCCTCCTCCATAAAATGACAGGGTGGGACTGGATGATCTAAATAGTCCCTTCCGGCCCTTAAAAAGTCCCATGACTTCACTGTGACTCAATAAATACTATTTCAAGAGTCCACTTTTAAGAGTGATATGAGCTTGAAGTTAAATGAATGTCTCCTTTTTCTGTGAGATACTTCTAGCTAAGATAGGTCTGTTGAGCAAGTCCAAACAGCATTCTAATTACAAAAAAGAGGGCTGAAAAATGAATTTACAAGTTAGAAGCTTTAAGTTATAAGCAATAGATATATATTAGATGCTACCAGCAAAACAAAAGTTCAATTACAGGGAATTAATTTTAAAAACTAAAATCACCATCTTCATTTAGTGTCAACTTCTACCCCGTAAAAATGTGATTTCCCGTTACTGCAATACAGAACTGCTTCAATTCATACCAACCAGGAGTTACAGGGCCAAAATTTTTTTCTAAACTATTAAAGAGGGTGGGAGGGGGGACAGGCGAAAGGGAAGCAAACCATCTGGCTCTAACTCGCAAGGATCATCTTTTCTCCAAAAGGCATCAGTTTTTCTAAGAAGAAAAATCCGGAGGATTTTTCACTGGGCGTAGTTTTAAATAAAATTCATGGCGCTGATAGTTTTAGAATTAGACACATCGAGATGGCGAAAAAGAGAAGAGGACAAACTTCCTGGATTTTCTCTGCCTGTGTAAGAGAAAGAGATTTCCTCTTGCTGACGAAGGGAAAGGCCCCTTTAACAGTTTTTCTCTACACGGTGGTGGCTGCCAGACTAGGTGGGGCTCCCTCCGCTGCCTTCCTCCTGCCACTTCCCGCAACAAATGGAGCAAGCCAGCCCCGATTCAGGCAAACTTTTTCCCTGTCAGGCTCGAGCCCGCAGGGCGCCGGGGAGTGGTTTCCCCCGAACGCTCCTCGCCCAGGCTCGGGGCTGGGGGAAGCTGGGTCTTCGCAAAGGACAACTTTCTGGTTTCCGTTGTAACTTCCACCCACACCCGGGAGGGAACCAAGGCGAACAGCGAGGGGGCTCCGGGGCGGGGAGTGAGTCTTCGCGGGAGCCGGCGGGGAAAGGCGGGCAGCATGAGAGGCTGCGGCGGCCGCGGGCTGAAGGGAGCGGGCGGGGGGGGGGTCCTCGGGCTCTCACTTCCTCCGCCATATTTCAGACATTTGACCCCTTCCGCAAAGCGCGCTGTTTTCCCCGCAGCGGCGGCTCGTCCTCGCGGACCCGGGAGGCAGTGCGCTCGCCGGCCGGGCGCCCGGCCTTCGCGCCACCTGCCGCGCGCCGAGGGGCAGCTGCTGCCGGGTCCCCTGACCGCCCCGCCCGGCCCGGCCCGCGCCGCACCCCACCCGCTCCCCTCAGCCGGCGCCCGGCCCCCGCCCAGCGCGGCCACCGCCGCTCCCCTCAATGGCCACGCACGCACTCTGCGAACCTCTCACGCTGTCACCGGGTCCCCGCAGCCAGCGTCGCCCCGCGCTTCCTCCGGGTCGCTACTCCCGGCGCCACGGCAGTCCTGCCGCTGCCGCTGCCGCTAACGCTGCCGCCGCTCCGGCTGGTTTACACGCCTGACTCAGGGCGAGGTTTGGCGGTGTCGCCTTGACGTCAGGCGTTCAGCCTCGCTCTCGCTTCCGCCCGCGGGCGGGGCGCGCGGGTGCGCGGCCCGGGAAGGGGCGGGTCCGCGGGGGCGGGACGAGGGGGCCAAGGGGGCGGGTCCTCCCCTTGGCGTCCCGCGCCGGTGGAGCGCATGCCTGGCCCGCGCGGCGTTCTGGCGGCTTGTCGTCCGCGGTGTCTCTCCCTGGCCTTCGCCGCCCAGTCAGCCTCGCCTGCGCAGGCTGGCTGGTGGGCGGCTTCGCGTGTCGGTTTTTCCGAGAGCGCGCACTTCCCCACAGCAGCGGGTTACGGTGGAAGGCAGGGCTTAGAAACCTTCGGAAACCCAAAAGGTGCCTCCTTAATGCAAACTATAATTCAGTCGTCAGCGCCTCGAAACTGTTGGTGTTCGCGTCATCCTTTGTGCTGCGCAAAGTAACTGAGAAGTAACCGAGAGCGGGCAGTTTGTGCACCTCCGCAGAGCTCCCGTGAAGGAGCCTAGGCCAGGGCAGCCTTTCTTTCCTTTCGTGAAATGGCCTTTCTCTTGAATTGACAAGTATTTCATCCACTGGTGTCTTAACCTGGGCTAACTCTTTCCAAATTGCCCTGCCAAGTGGTTCCCAAACAAGTTTGTAACCCTGAGCCCAAATCAGCATTATTTATATGAATAAAATAAATTGTGTATGTTAATGCGTGACTTGGGCGCTTTGGTGGCTTTCCAGCATTACCCGTGGGTACGTTTATGATGTGACTTCAGGGCACCAGAAAACAGCCAAAAAGATCTGGTTCCCAAAAGGGCAGGAACTTAACCATAGCACACGAGAAACTTATCAGAGCTTTTTTTGAAGAGGTTTTGATAGGCAAGCAGATTCAGAGAGAGAAAGTGCAGGGAAAAGTGGGGGGTTGGGAGCCATCGAAGACCAACTTTTGCTTAGTTTGTAGTTTAACTGGGCCATGTACAAATCATTCTTGAAGTAAATCTTTACAAACTTCGATAAATTTGGAAGCTAACTAAGCTAAGTTTAGTGAATACGTAAGAATTAATTATAATTATCTGAACAGTTTCCTGTAGGGAAGTCCTTCTAGGTGTTTTACAATTTAGGTTAATTGAATATGTTACCTATTTAGATAATTTCTGTTTCCTTAGAAAACCCTTTTCTTTTCAAATTAATTTATTTATTTTAAGATTGACAGATGAAATTGTATGTATTTATGGTGTACAACATGATCTTTTGAAGTAATGTATGTATACATTGTGGAATGTATTAAATCCACATGGTTAAATCTAGCTAATTAACATACGCATTACCTAACATAGATACCATTTTTATGGTGAGAGCCTTAACATCCACTGTTTTAGAAAACCCTTTCTAAATGGAAATCTCAAGGGCAAATTTCAGAGCAGTCTGTTGGAATTATTAGAAATTCTGAATGAACGAATGACAGATAAATTTGACTTCACTAACTTTTCAATTATTGCGTAAAAATATGAAAAGTCTGAAAGCCTGAAACTTTGAGCCCATGGAAGCAGTGTTACCTAGGAATACTGTGTTTTTTCTTTTTGTGTCTTTTTTTTAAAAATCTTTCTTTGACCTCTGGGCAATTGATTTTTTTTTTCCAGGAAAAAAAAAATCAGTTTTAGAAGACTGAAGCTAGAAACTTTAGAGTTTGAGAGAATGTGTGAAATAGTTTATTTTAATTAAAAATACATTTATTTTCTCCTAATAGACTGGAAATCATTGCACTTATATTAAACTGTTATCACTGGGCAGAGAATACCATAACTCTGGGCAGAGAATACCATCTCTTAACACTGAACTCACTTTTGAGTTTGAGTCCTTTGTTCCTATTTTCTTGACATCTGCATCAGAATATCCCACTGGCAACTGGTCATTCATGTATGCAAACGGAACACATCATCTTTGTCACTAAACCAGTTTCTTTTCCTCTTCCTTTATTAATTGTATCACCGTCTTTTTGTTTACCTGGTCTTCAAGCTGACACTCCTCTCTCCGCCTTTTCTTGGATAATCCACCAATTGGCACATCTATTAGATGGTAATTTGACAAGCTCTTTCATTTCGTTTCCTGTTTTCCATTTTGACTAAGACCATACTTAGTGATATTTATTTGCCAACTTTAGGTTGGTACAACTTCTCATGTCCCAGACCTTTGCAGCCTGGTGAACCTTTCCAGTCTGTTCCTGCTGTGATCTATTCTATATATTGTTACTTGAATGAATTACCTTAAAGCGTGTGGAGCAAGTCACACCCTTCCTCAAAGAGCCTTCAATTACCCCCCTGCTCTACCAAAATAAAGTTAAAATCCTTGTCTCACTTTTCCCTTTCACTTAAAATTGCTTTACCTTAAAATTGCAGTGCCTTTACACAACAGAAAGGTAAAGAAGCAATATATTTAGGCAAGATGAGAGAGCAAGAGCGAGACCCCGTCTCTACTAAAAATAGAAAGAAATTAATCGGACAACTAAAACTATATAGAAAAAATTAGCTGGGCATGGTGGCACATGCCTGTAGTCGCAGCTACTTGGGAGGCTGAGGCAGGAGGATCGCT